AGGGTCTACACTGACATACCAAAATGTCTCAAATGTCTCTTATTGTTAATTTCTAACAACAGAAAAAAAATTCTCCGACCAGACTGGCTTTTTGTCAGGTCAAAACTTGTCTTTGGCCTGACAAATGACCTGCTTATAGACAAAAATTATTTGCAGGCTTGTGCTCAATGTTCACTACAGTACAGGTACCTGGCACAACCTTCACCAACAGAAAATCACGTGAGAACAACGCCTTGACATAAATTACATTATGTCTCATTATTTTTACAAGGCATGTTCAACTCTCACTCGTTGCGTCGGTAGATTTATTACTAAGGCTAGCTAATTTACTAAGGAGCATAAATGCATTTATTTGGTAAATAAATATCCTTTATGTCTTGTCATAATGTTAATTTTTATTGCTATTTCTTTATTTAATTTTATATATTTTTTTTCATAATTATTATAGATATTTAGTTCAGGAATCTTCCGGGATGATTTGGATTGTACCATGTTCCTGATTTTATCAACGGTCTTCCCCACTTAAGAGAAACAAAAAAATCAAAACCAAAAAATAAAGATCTATGCCGTTTACGTCTCACCTTTCAAATGGCAGGTAACTTTCAAAAGCACAAGAACTGTAGTGCAGTTTCCACTTGTGAGTAAATGGTCGAATTAAGGTTGGATTTGTCTTCTCTGTCTCATCACTCGTGGAGCCTTCACGGAACCAATGCTCTATTTCCGGGTAAAATGGATTTGCTGCCGTGGGCGAAAACAAAGCTTTTTCGTCATTATTAAACGCCATTATCATTTGCGTTAGCACCAAATAGCACTGTGTATCGAGACTGAACTTTAATACTTGTCCTCTTTCCCGGAGAAATCTGTTTCTGTCCTCTTTAACGCTGTTCACTTCGAGATCCAGATCGACCCAGTCGTTCCAAATATCGCGACATTCTCGGAGAATCGCGTTGTTTTGAAACATTAAAATACTCTCGCGGTTTTCGAAATCACTCTCCAGCAATTTTGACATGATTTTCCGCAGTCGGTCAAAGTGAGATTTTGACAGCGCCATGTTATACCAGATATTCCATAAGAAGTCTATATCATCTGGGATATCAGGATTTATCACACCGGCGGCTTCG